TTGTTTTGGAAAGTGTATAGAGTGACTTTGTGTCTAACCATAAAACCGAATGAACAGGGTATAGAGAAAGTGAAGACAGACAAGAACGATAGGCCTTACCAAGACGTTAAGATTCTTAATGTAACTGTTCCTAAATCTTAGCATCTTTGCTGTCTGTTGTCTCAAAGATGTTGGCCTTGCATTATACTCTGATATATGCTGAGAAGGTGAAAGCATAGAATGTGAGCTGGTTAGTTTGGTCTTGTGATAAATCTGAACTTGGTGGTTTGTCTGAGATGGATCAAACTTTGGGAAGTGTTATGCCTGAGATGATGAGTCTGTGGCATCATCCTCTTGATACTATATAACATTATTTTTAATTTTGTTAACTTTGTGGTTTTGGCGGGAGGAATGTGCGGTTTTTACGAGGAATGCAATTCTTTTTGTTTGTGTTGAAAAACACGGTTTTTTGGTTTCCGCTTGTAAACACAAACCACTGATCAATAATAAAGCAAGAGAAATTAGGTTGTACAACAAAAAAACTATAATTATAACCCTAACCATTTAACCTTAAGTCTAATGGGGATGTATATGCAACATAGGCTAATTTTAGTTAATTTACTAATTTTTTTTTGTTTGGTTATAAAGTAATAAACATTTTCAAAATATTCGACATGTGTGTCCTCAAATGTTCCCAACTAATTGGATGTTAGTTAAGACTAATCCATTAGTTATACGACCAATTTATTATACGATTTACACTGTCCGGTTCAACGACATACCTGAAGAAACATTGACTCCAAGTTAAGCTTTATTTGTAATGATAAAGATAGGTTTTCTGGTTTGTAGGCAATGGCGAAATCGATCCATGTGTCAACAATGAAAAACTCATGGCTTGACATATTTTCATCATAAAAGTCGACGAGCCATGGAGCATCGAAGCGAACACCCAGCCCTGTGGTGATACAAGGTTTTGTTTACAGAGTCAAAGGACAAAGGACTCTTCATCGCATTCTAGGAACATAGAAGGTATTTTGCGCCAGATATGCCTCCATTGTTTGGACAAGACACAAGTTCTGATTGCCAAATAGGTCAGAACACTATATGGTGGAGGAGATTGTTTGGTAGAGAGCTGATGAAATCTTTATTGTCCATTGATTCTACTTCTTGGCTATCATTTGACATAGCAACCAAAGCTAAGATTGTTTGTTCTGTGTGGTTTAAAAGTAAACATTGAATCCTCTTCGGTTGGTTCCAAACTTTTTTTTATTACATATGTTTGTATATTTCAAAAAAGGAAAAATCGGATAAAAATTCTTCAAGGTGACACATACTAACACTTTAAATCCAAAGTTTTAAACTAGCAGTTCAAACCTCCAAGTTAAAACTATTAACACAATAAACCAAAGTGGCTCCCGAGTACGCGTCATCATAGTTTTCACAAACTATTCATTTATGTTTAAAACTGATGACGTTGGCCCATGGTCACACTAAGGATTCGCCAGTCAGTGTGGATTATACATACCGTTGAATTTATCTGTTAAGACGTTTAAAGATACTCTCGAGT